GAAATGAGTTTATGAAACACAGATTGTCCTTGTCAAAGGGGAAATGTAATATTTCAACGACAATTTAAGATTTTTTCTTTGGATCGGTGGCGGCGGTGGTGGGTTGTGGTGTGGTGGTGGGTGTGGTGGTGGGGTGGGCCATGGTGGGTGTGGTGGTGGCGGTGATGGTGGCAGGTGGTTGTGGTGGGTGTGGTGGTGGTGGTGGTGCTGGGGGTGGTGGTGGTTGTGTTGGGGGGTTGGGTGCTGGTGGCGGTGGTGGTGGGTGTGGTGGGGGGCATGGTGGTGGTGGTTGTGGTGGTGTGGTGGCGCGCGGTGCTGGTGGTTGTGGGTGTGGTGGTGGTTGTGGTGCTGGGCGTGGTTGGTGCTGGGCGTGGTGGTGGTGGGGTGGTGGGTGTGGTGGCGGCGGTGCTGGTGGTGGTGGTTGTGGTGCTGGTGGCGGTGGTGGGTGTGGTGTGGTGGTGCTGGCGGGTGGTGGTGGTGGGTGGTGGTGGGGTGGTGGCATTTGTGTGCAGAGCTCAGACACAGGACGACGGTGGCAGTCGGAGAGCCTCTTTGAAGTCTCGACAGAGGGAAATGAAGAGGAAGTGGAATTTTCTCGCATGGTCACAGGGTGAGTTCCCTTCTTGTCTTGGGAGCAACGCAGTTTAGGGGGAGGTGCTTAACTCGCTGCGTGCTACCGTCATCTAGATTCGACGCACTGCGCTGCCAACCCGACGAAGCGACAGTTTGATACGGCCATAGATAATATTAGCGCCGGGGGATATTGGAACGGAGGTCGTTTCAGCCTTAAAATGAGTACCCGGTGCTGTGTGTAAACATCAGCACAGCAAAGACAAACGAAACTATTTTATTTTATTTTACCAGGCAAGGCCCACTGAGCTGTATAGCTTTATTTCAGAAGCAACCTGGCCACAATGTATAGCAGCCAAATACTCAACATGTGGATGGAAAAAACCAGAGGTCCAGAGAAGAATCCACGCGACCACGGAGAGAGAGAGGACACACAAACTCCAAATATGCAGCAGGCGTGCGGGTTTGGATTGACCCTACGACCTTCTGTATACCAGGCGAGGTTGTGCTTGCCACCCCTCCCCTCGAGTGACATGCCAGCCTTAATAGACGTCCGCAAACAGCACTTGCCCCAACTGTCTGTTAAAGGCTTATACTGTAGAGGGGAGACTTTGTCTGTGTTTGCTTGCAGGCTGCGAGAGCGATTCAGCCACAGCGACTGGAGTTCGAACTGGGGATCCTGCGCAGCCCGTGTGCACTTCACCGAGGTGTGCAGCGTCATGCTCAAGGTGCTGGTGGAGTTGGACAACGCTCATCCCGAGCCCATCACCTTCACCTGCGAGTGTGAGTGAGGCCGTGCTGCCGGGGGTGGACTGAGACTGTGAGGGGGGTGAGTGAGGCTGTGTGGCTGGGGGTGAGTGAGACTGTGAGGGGCTGGGGTGAGTGAGGCTGTGGGTTGGGGGTGAGTGAGGCTGTGAGGCGGGGGTGAGTGAGACTGTGTGGCTGGGGGTGAGTGAGAGGTGAGGCTGGGGGTGAGTGAGACTGTGAGGCTGGGGGTGAGTGAGGCTGTGAGGTGGGGTGAGTGAGGCTGTGGGCTGGGGGTGAGTGAGACTGTGAGGCTGGTGGTGAGTGAGGCTGTGTGGCTGGGGGTGAGTGAGGCTGTGAGGCTGGGGGTGGTGAGAGCTGTGTAGCTGGGGGTGAGTGAGGCTGTGAGGCTGGGGGTGAGTGAGGCTGTGGTGGCTGGGGGTGAGTGAGGCTGTGAGGCTGGGGGAGTGAGGCTGTGAGGCTGGGGGTGAGTGAGGTGTGTGGGGGGGGGTGAGTGAGGCTGTGAGGCTGGGGGGTGAGTGAGACTGTGAGGCTGGGGGTGAGTGAGACTGTGAGGCTGGGGTGGTGAGTGAGGCTGGGGGGAGTGAGACTGTGAGGCTGGGGGTGAGTGAGACTGTGAGTGGGGGGTGAGTGAGACTGTGTGGCTGGGGGTGAGTGAGACTGTGAGGCTGGGGGTGAGTGAGACTGTGAGGCTGGGGGTGAGTGAGGCTGTGAGGCTGGGGGTGAGTGAGGCTGGGGGGGAGTGAGGCTGTGAGGCTGGGGGTGAGTGGGAGGCTGTGAGGCTGGGGTGAGTGAGGCTGGGGGTGGTGAGTGAGACTGTGAGGCTGGGGGTGAGTGAGGCTGTGAGGCTGGGGGTGAGTGAGACTGTGAGGCTGGGGGTGAGTGAGGCTGTGTGGCTGGGGGTGAGTGAGGCTGTGAGGCCGGGGGTGAGTGAGACTATGAGGCTGGGGGTGAGTGAGGCTGGGGGTGAGTGAGACTGTGAGGCTGGGGGTGAGTGAGACTGTGAGGCTGGGGGTGAGTGAGGCTGTGTGCTGGGGGTGAGTGAGGCTGTGTGGCTGGGGGTGAGTGAGGCTGTGTGGCTGGGGGTGAGTGAGGCTGTGAGGCTGGGGGTGAGTGAGGCTGGGGGTGAGTGAGACTGTGTGGCTGGGGGTGAGTGAGGCTGGGGGTGAGTGAGACTGTGTGGCTGGGGGTGAGTGAGGCTGGGGGTGAGTGAGACTGTGAGGCGGGGGTGAGTGAGGCTGGGGGTGAGTGAGGCTGTGTGGGGGGGAGTGAGGCTGGGGGTGAGTGAGACTGTGTGGCGGGGTGAGTGAGACTGTGTGGCTGGGGGTGAGTGAGACTGTGAGGCTGGCGGTGAGTGAGACTTTGAGGCTGGGGGTGAGTGAGGCTGTGTGGTTGGGGGTGAGTGAGGCTGTGAGGCTGGGGGGAGTGAGACTGTGGGTGGGGGGTGAGTGAGACTGTGAGGCTGGGGGTGAGTGAGGCTGTGTGGCTGGGGGGTGAGTGAGGCCTGTGAGGCTGGGGGTGAGTGAGGCTGTGTGGCTGGGGGTGAGTGAGACTGTGAGGGCTGGGGGCTGGGGGTGAGTGGGCTGTGTGGCTGGGGGTGAGTGAGGCTGTGAGGCTGGGGGTGAGTGAGGCTGTGTGGCTGGGGGTGAGTGAGGCTGTGAGGCTGGGGGTGAGTGAGGCTGTGTGGGCTGGGGGTGAGTGAGGCTGTGAGGCTGGGGGTGAGTGAGGCTGTGAGGCTGGGGTGAGTGAGGCTGTGTGGCTGGGGGTGAGTGAGGCTGTGAGGCTGGTGGTGAGTGAGACTGTGAGGCTGGGGGTGAGTGAGACTGTGAGGCTGGGGGTGAGTGAGGCTGTGAGGCTGGGGGTGAGTGAGGCTGGGGGGTGAGTGAGACTGTGTGGCTGGGGGTGAGTGAGACTGTGAGGCTGGGGGTGAGTGAGGCTGGGGGTGAGTGAGGCTGTGAGGCTGGGGGCGAGTGAGACTGTGAGGCTGGGGGTGAGTGAGACTGTGTGGCTGGGGGTGAGTGAGACGTGAGGCTGGGGGTGAGTGAGGACTGTGAGACTGGGGGTGAGTGAGACTGTGAGGCTGGGGGTGAGTGAGACTGTGAGGCTGGGGTGAGGAGACTGTGTGGCTGGGGGTGAGTGAGGCTGTGAGGCTGGGGGTGAGTGAGGCTGGGGGTGAGTGAGGCTGTGATGGCTGGGGGTGAGTGAGGCTGTTGAGGCTGGGGTGAGTGAGACTGTGAGGCTGGGGGTGAGTGAGGCTGTGAGGCTGGGGTGAGTGAGGCTGGGGGTGAGTGAGGCTGTGAGGCTGGGGGTGAGTGAGGCTGGGGGTGAGTGAGGCTGTGAGGCTGGGGGTGAGTGAGACTGTGTGGACTGGGGGTGAGTGAGACTGTGAGGCTGGGGGTGAGTGAGGCTGTGAGGCTGGGGGTGAGTGAGACTGTGAGGCTGGGGGTGAGTGAGGCTGTGAGGCTGGGGGTGAGTGAGACTGTGAGGCTGGGGGTGAGTGAGACTGTGAGGCTGGGGGTGAGTGAGACTGTGAGGCTGGGGTGAGTGAGGCTGGGGGTGAGGCAGACATGTTGAGGCTGGGGGTGAGTGAGACTGTGTGGCTGGGGGTGAGTGAGACTGTGAGGCTGGGGGTGAGTGAGACGTTGAGTCTGGGGGTGAGTGAGACTGTGAGGCTGGGGGTGAGTGAGACTGTGAGGCTGTGGGTGAGTGAGGCTGGGGGTGAGTGAGACTGTGAGGCTGGGGGTGAGTGCGACTGTGAGGCTGGGGGTGAGTGAGACTGGTGTGGCTGGGGGTGATTGAGACTGTGAGCTGGGGTGAGTGAGACTGTGAGGCTGGGGGTGAGTGAGGCTGTGAGGCTTGGGGGTGAGTGAGGCTGGGGGTGAGTGAGGCTGTGAGGCTGGGGGTGAGTGAGGCTGTGAGGCTGGGGGTGAGTGAGGCTGGGGGTGAGTGAGACTGTGTGGCTGGGGGTGAGTGAGGCTGGGGGTGAGTGAGGCTGTGAGGCTGGGGGAGAGTGAGGCTGTGAGGCTGGGGGGTGAGTGAGGCTGTGTGGCTGGGGGTGAGTGAGGCTGGGGGTGAGTGAGACTGTGAGGCTGGGGGTGAATGAGGCTGGGGTGAGTGAGGCTGTGTGGCTGGGGGGTGAGTGAGGCTGTGGCTGGGGGTGAGTGAGGCTGTGAGGCTGGGGGTTGAGTGAGACTATGAGGCTGGGGGGTGAGTGAGGCTGGGGGTGAGTGAGACTGTGAGGCTGGGGGTGAGTGAGACTGTGAGGCTGGGGGTGAGTGAGGCTGGGGGGTGAGTGAGACTGTGTGGCTGGGGGGGAGTGAGGCTGGGGGTGAGTGAGACTGTGTGGCTGGGGGTGAGTGAGGCTGGGGGTGAGTGAGACTGTGAGGCTGGGGGTGAATGAGGCTGGGGGTGAGTGAGGCTGTGTGGCTGGGGGTGAGTGAGGCTGTGTGGCTGGGGGTGAGTGAGGCTGTGTGGCTGGGGGTGAGGGAGGCTGTGAGGCTGGGGGTGAGTTAGGCTGGGGGGTGAGTTGAGACTGTGTGGCTGGGGGTGAGTGAGGCCTGGGTGTGAGTGAGACTGTGTGGCTGGGGGTGAGTGAGGGATGCTGGGGTGTAGTGAGACTGTGAGGCTGGGGGTTGAGTGAGGCTGGGGGTGAGTGAGGCTGTGTGGCTGGGGGTGAGTGAGGCTGTGTGGCTGGGGGTGAGTGAGGCTGGTGGCTGGGGGTGAGTGAGGCTGTGAGGCTGGGGGTGAGTGAGGCTGGGGGTGAGTGAGACTGTGTGGCTGGGGGTGAGTGAGGCTGGGGGTGAGTGAGACTGTGAGGCTGGGGGTGAGTGAGGCTGGGGGTGAGTGAGGGCTGTGTGGCTGGGGGTGAGTGAGGCTGTGTGGCTGGGGGTGAGTGAGGCTGTGTGGCTGGGGTGAGTGAGGCTGTGAGGCTGGGGGTGAGTGAGGCTGGGGGTGAGTGAGACTGTGAGGCTGGGGGTGAGTGAGTCTGTGAGGCTGGGGGTGAGTGAGACTGTGAGGCTGGGGGTGAGTGAGACTGTGAGGCTGGGGATGAGTGAGGCTGTGAGGCTGGGGGTGAGTGAGACTGTGAGGCTGGGGGTGAGTGAGACTGTGAGGCTGGGGGTGAGTGAGGCTGTGAGGCTGGGGGTGAGTGAGGACTATGAGGCTGGGGGTGAGTGAGGCTGGGGGTGAGTGAGACTGTGTGGCTGGGGGTGAGTGAGACTGTGTGGCTGGGGGTGAGTGAGGCTGGGGTGAGTGAGGCTGGGGGTGAGTGAGGCTGTGTGGCTGGGGGTGAGTGAGACTGTGAGGCTGGGGGTGAGTGAGACTGTGAGGCTGGGGGGTGAGTGAGGCTGGGGGTGAGTGAGGCTGTGTGGCTGGGGGTGAGTGAGACTGTGTGGCTGGGGGTGAGTTGAGGCTGGGGGTGAGTGAGACTGTGAGGCTGGGGGTGAGTGAGACTGTGAGGCTGGGGGGTGAGTGAGACTGTGAGGCTGGGGGTGAGTGAGACTGTGAGGCTGGGGGTGACTGAGGTTGTGTGACCAGGGTGTGAGTGAGACTGTGTGGCTGGGGGTGAGTGAGGGCTGGGGTGTAGCGAAGGTGATGGATGGAGGCTGGGGTTGAGTGGCTGTGAGGGGGGGTGAGTGAGACTGTGTGGCTGGGGGTGAGGGTGAGTACTGTGTGGCTGGGGGTGAGTGAGGCTGGGGGTGAGTGAGGCTTGGGGTGTGAGTGAGACTGTGTGGCTGGGGGTTGAGTGAGGCTGGGGGTGAGTGAGACTGTGTGGCTGGGGGTGAGTGAGGCTGGGGGTGAGTGAGACTGTGAGGCTGGGGGTGAGTGAGGCTGGGGGTGAGTGAGGCTGTGTGGCTGGGGGTGAGTGAGGCTGTGTGGCTGGGGGTGAGTGAGGCTGTGTGGCTGGGGGTGAGTGAGGCTGTGAGGCTGGGGGTGAGTGAGGCTGGGGGGGTGAGTGAGACTGTGAGGCTGGGGGTGAGTGAGACTGTGAGGCTGGGGGTGAGTGAGACTGTGAGGCTGGGGGTGAGTGAGACTGTGAGGCTGGGGATGAGTGAGGCTGTGAGGCTGGGGGTGAGTGAGACTGTGAGGCTGGGGGTGAGTGAGACTGTGAGGCTGGGGGTGAGTGAGGCTGTGAGGCTGGGGGTGAGTGAGACTATGGGGCTGGGGGTGAGTGAGGCTGGGGGTGAGTGAGACTGTGTGGCTGGGGGTGAGTGAGACTGTGTGGCTGGGGGTGAGTGAGGCTGGGGGTGAGTGAGGCTGGGGGTGAGTGAGGCTGTGTGGCTGGGGTGAGTGAGACTGTGAGGCTGGGGGTGAGTGAGACTGTGAGGCTGGGGGTGAGTGAGGCTGGGGGTGAGTGAGGCTGTGTGGCTGGGGGTGAGTGAGACTGTGTGGCTGGGGGTGAGTGAGGCTGGGGGTGAGTGAGACTGTGAGGCTGGGGGTGAGTGAGACTGTGAGGCTGGGGGTGAGTGAGACTGTGAGGCTGGGGGTGAGTGAGACTGTGAGGCTGGGGGTGACTGAGGTTGTGTGACCAGGGTGTGAGTGAGACTGTGTGGCTGGGGGTGAGTGAGGCTGGGGGTGAGTGAGACTGTGAGGCTGGGGGTGAGTGAGACTGTGAGGCTGGGGGTGAGTGAGACTGTGTGGCTGGGGGTGAGTGAGACTGTGTGGCTGGGGGTGAGTGAGGCTGGGGGGGAGTGAGGCTGGGGGTGAGTGAGGCTGGGGGTGAGTGAGGCTGTGTGGCTGGGGGTGAGTGAGACTGTGAGGCTGGGGGTGAGTGAGACTGTGAGGCTGGGGGTGACTGAGGTTGTGTGACCAGGGTGTGGTCACGGAGGTCTGGAGCTCATCACCTTCACCTGCGAGTGTGAAGCCAGGTCCACGCGTGAGCGATCAGTTGCGCAACTGAATTGCTTCTGAAAATCACACAACTCATTTTTCACCTGCAACTTCTTTGTCCACTTCTGAGCAGGCGTTTTTGCTACAAAGACGTGTCTGGGCATGGTTAAATTGTCTGGCAATGCCCTCCGTAGCATAGCCCTGCCCCTGTTCTAGTTAGTTCCACCACCCCCACCACCCATATCTTTGGTGAATATTTGGACCAGTTTTGCTCATCCCCTAGGTCGACTCAGCTGAAAATAAATACGTGGTTCAGTGTGTAAACATCAGCACTGGAGAAGCGATCCTTGCCCGTGAACAGAACTTGCCCCAACAGACTGTAGAAGGCTCTATGGGGGATATTTGTCTTTTTTAAAATCCTTTATATTAAGTTCACTTGCTTGCTTGCTTGCGCGCTTACGACCGGGCAAATCTTTCGGTCGTTTTTTAACCGACTTCCCGTGATCCAATTTTTTTCTAAAATTTGCCACTTTTTAGGAAAAAAAAAATGTCATATTTAATTTAAAATACCAATGTGATAAAAATGAAACTCTTACTCAAGAAAAACAGAAATGAATAATAAAATAAAACCGATGCCACGCATATAAAGGGTTAATTTTTTACGTGTGTGTGCATGCAGCCCAGTCTCCAGTTGAGTTGCTGCTGATTCAGATCTTGTGCTTCCTGCACCCGGATTTCTCACAAGTGGACGTGACAGATTACCTCCTCAAGGTGCACGGGCTGGACGAGGTCTTGCAGAGGTGATGCTTGGCTTATGTAGACGGACGCAGTTGGCAGCTCATTGCCACGTGGTGCCATGAAAGTTGATTCAAGGGCAGCTCCGCCAACTAGGGCAAATTTCGATTTAATGATACCCCTACCCCCTCCCTTTGATGCTGCTAGTCCTGCATAATGCACGGGCATAAGTAGTACTAATCACATACCTGCATTTTCCATAAATATGCCCATAAATATGCTAAATTCCTCTTGATATGCAAATTATTTTGTCAAGGCGCCCTTCCCCCTCTTCCAACCCAGCTTAAATATACCCTCCAAGCATGGTGCTGTTTCATTCAGACGCTGTCTCCCCGACAGACCTGGTCTTCACCTGATGACGGCTGCTTGCGTTGTGGCCGAAACGTCGTGAGAATTATTTTTTATGTTTTATTTTATTATTTTTATTGTTTCCATTCTACGTGACTTTACCGAAAGAGCCAAGAAAACTAGGGCAAACTCGCGGTCGTTAGCTGGGCGGTGGTGGTGGCACACGCCTGTTGGAGGTGAGCGGATGGGGGGATCATCGCGCAAATATCGAGGTGCCGCCATACGCTGGCTCGCCAGGACAAGGCGGTACAGCAAATGGTGGACTCCACCTGTTGCATCTGTACGGGATGGAGTGTTTCCCCCCCTCGCTAGCATGGGTTTTTTCTGGGCACTCTGGTTGACGCTCACTTGTAAGCGCTCATTGGTTGAAAGAATCTTCGTATATAGAGGACCGCACAGCTCACCTCTCGCCCATCCATCCAGTCATTCACTCACGCACGCCCCACTCACTCGCTCATCAACCTGCTTACCCAATCGCTCACCCAGTCACCTACTGAAGTGACGGAGGGAGGGGAAGCCATGACTGGGCTGTGAAGGCACTGGGTTGAAGAGGGAAATTTGTACGAGAGACTTTGAAAAGAGAGAGAGGATCAAGTCGAGTTGCCTGGGGAGGGTGGTTGGGCACGGGGATGGGTGGTGGTGGGGGGGATATCGTGGCTGTCATAGCGGCCATCAACGGTGGTGCAGTCAATCTCAGGAACGTTTCCCCATTCGACGCAAAGCGCGACGCCGCACACAAGACGGCGTTGACAGGCGCGGCGTGCTCGGTGTGGTGTGGTGCGTGGATGCTTGCGCGCGTACGTGCGTTTGCAGCGATCGACAGTTTGGCAGCCACAGCTACATCCAGCACTGCCGGCGCTTCGACCTGGACGTGCGGCTGAAGCTGGCACGGCGCAGCGCTCTCAGGCAGGGGCTGGCTCGCACCGTAAGTAGCGCAGCATGCGCAGAAAGCACAGCAGGGGCAGTTATGCGCAGCACCCGCAGGAATCGCAGCACGCACAGTGGTGGGCTACAGCATCACCACCGCCGGCCAGAAAGATTACGCAATTATTTAACATTTTTTACGTATACTAGCACTGCCCGTGTATTTGCGCGGGTGATATGTCCGGGGTTGGGGGGGGGGGGCGTGATGTCAGCGCAACGCACGAACCCGGCTTAGCGCTGTGCGATTTGGGTGATGTTATCACGCAGATGTGCATGGTGATGTCACCAACACGCCAGCCAGTGAGTCAGCCAGCCAGCCAGTAAAGCTTTTTTAAAATAACATAGTGTGATAAATATCATCCCTGTCGGTGTACACAGGCCCAAAATGCCACGCGGCGAGCAACGAACGGTGCTGTTTACGTTGTCATGCATACGATGAGTTGACACATTTCTTAACTGGAGCGAGGTTTTTATAAGAGCTTGGCAACGGAGACGATGATGGGGAGGGAATTCCAAAGTGGAGCAGTGCGAGGGAAGAAGCAGAAAGAGAAGTGGTGTGACCTGCGGTGTGGTGGTGAGATGGTGAGTGAGTGGGTGAGTGATGGGTGGGTGGGTGTGTTGTTGTGATCTGCAACGTGGTGAGAGGATGGATGCACGAGTAGGTGAGTGATTGGTGGGTGGTTGAGTGAGTGAGTTGTTTTCTGCAATGTTGTAGCTGAACATAGTACGGGTTAGATGAAAACAGTCCGGTTGACCGATTCCTCAACGTGGATGGAGAACCTTCGAGTGATATTCACGGGAACAGTAACCACGGGAGTAGCGATATCCGAGAGTGATACGCAAGTGACGTTGATGGTGCGGGTGGTGGTGTGGATGGTGATGACGGTGGTGATGCTTACCGTGTGTCTCTCCCCTCCTCCGCTGTAGGAAGAGGATGATGCTCGCCCTACCGTCTTGCGCATCGACCAAGAACTTCACGAGTGTCCACAGAAGCGCTCGCTCACCAAGTAAATTGTCCAATCTTGGGTGGAGCACCCAATTCCTACCTCACTGCACTCAATAGCAATCGGAGTGAAGCCGGTCCGATTGACCGGTGGTCCAACGCTCACTGTTTCACTCCCGTCACTCGGCTCACTCGCTGGCGGTCACTCATCATCCTGATCACTCTTCTGTTGCTGCTACCATGGCGATTCTCTGCACGTGAACTTGACTCGTTGATTCCTCCGTCCGTGTCGAGGACTCGGTCGATATCAGACTGCCTCTTCTTGGTTCTTTCGGTAAAGTCACGTAGAATGGAAATAATAAAATAATAAAAATGAAACATAATAAAATAATTCTCACGACGTTTCGGCCACAACGCAAGCAGCTGTCCTCAGGTGAAGAACAGGTCTGTCAGAAAGACAGCGTCTGAATGTCTTTCTGACAGACCTGTTCTTCACCTGAGGACGGCTGCTTGCGTTGTGGCCAAAACGTCATGAGAATTATTTTATTATGTTTTATTTTTATTATTTTAATAATAAAAATAAAATATTTTATAATGTTTTTTTTTCCCTTCTACGTGACTTTACCGAAAGAACCAAGAAGATGAATCCCTGCAGTCACGAAAGCTTTAAATCGAAATCAGACTGCCTGTTTGGTGTCATCCACCACGCTGTGTTCAACACTCCCAGTTACTCGCTCACTGGCGGTCAGTCACCTCCTGATCAAACTTCTGTCGCGTCTCTCACGGTTGCTGTTCTCCTCTGAACCTCGCCCATCGAGCACCTATGAAGGCCAGCACAGCACACGAGGAGGGGGTGGGTGGTCAGCCACACGCCCGGCCGCCTTTGTCTCCTAAGCGGTGATGTTTAACACGCCGCATCAGGTACTCATTTGAGGCTGAGTCGACCTAGGGGAGGCCCCGGACCGGCTCAGATAATTGTCACTGATGCTGGCCGTGAGCGGGAATCGAACTCGGGTGGCCAGGTTCGTAATGCAGCGCGCTAACCGTTACGCGACCGCTTTCCTCGACGATACAGTCGCACGCACCACATACGCAGTCGTACCCGAATGCCATTGAAACATGAAGGGTTGAATTTTGCTTTGTGTTCCTCCGTGTTGATGCGGGTGGATTCATTTTGTTTTGCAGGCAGGGGCTGTCAATGCTCATGGATGTCTATCACAGTGAGGTGGAGACGCTGCTGCTGCACGAGGCAAGTTTATACCGCAGTGGGCTTTGCCTGGGAGGATGGGCATACTCTTAAAACTAAACCATGGGCATGGTTTAGTTTTATTTGTATGTGTTTTGGTTGATTTTATTACATTTATTATACTTTGCACTCCTATCGTGTTTTTGTATTGTTTGTGGTTGTAACGCTCTTACCTGCCCCGACTGAATATTTGTGAAAAAGAGCTTTATAGCTCATCGGATTCTTCCAATATAAATAATTTTTCTGAAGTAACCGCTGATCGTTGTGCGGAGGGCGTGCAAGGTGGAGACGCATTTGTCTCTTGGAAAACGTGAACCACGCAGGGGGAGCACTCGTGTGAGTGGTTGTCACCAACTGCTTGGTTCTTTCGGTAAAGTCACGTAGAAGGGAAATAATAAAGTAATGAAAATAAAACATAATAAAATACAATTCTCACGACGTTTCGGCCACAACGCAAGCAGCCGTCCTCAGGTGAAGAACAGGTCTGTCGGAAAGACAGCGTCTGAATTATAGTCTTCCCGACAGACCTGTTCTTCACCTGAGGACGGCTGCTTGCGTTGTGGCCGAAACGTCGTGAGAATTGTATTTTATTATGTTTTATTATTATTTTATTATTTCCCTTCTACGTGACTTTACCGAAAGAACCAAGAAGATGAATCCCTGCAGTCACGAAAGCTTTAAATCGAAGGTTTTCACCAAGTTGTTTCTCTCTCCTTGAGCTACGTCACCACTGAGCAGTTGTACAAAATTGAAGCCTCGTTCCCAGCTTATCTTTCTTTTATTCGCTCGTACGCATGGTCACGGAGCGGTGCACAGTAGTGGATATCACAGAGCTACCTCCGAGATAGATTCAAGGGACCTCTGGTCCACGCTGTCGAGGGCAGCATTGTGAATGTGTTCCCATTGTGCCCGCGCTCCCCGCCACCCTGCTGCCCACGCTCACGCTGTTGCTCGCTGTTGCTCGCTGTTGCTCGCTGTTGCTCGCTGTTGCTCGCTGTTGCTCGCTGTTGCTCGCTGTTGCTCGCTGTTGTTGCCGTGCCCCGGCTCCAGCAATCGGGCATTGGCGTGAGCACGGACCGCGTCATCCAGGCCGCCAAGGCGCTGTGCTTGGCGCTGGAGAGCGTGGAGACGCCGGCCGTCACCAACGCCGTGTCGTCCCTGCGACACTTCGGCACGGCCGCCCCCCAGCAAGAGGTGATCGCGTCTTCGCAGCCCGGTAGCGAGAGAGGCTGTCTGGCTCGTTTTACGCAGCGAGCTGGAGGAGCATTTTTGCCTTTGTGTGCCGTCTTTGTGTGCCATGGTGGCAAGATGTTAGCAAACTCGCCTGGGACACAGGATGTCTTGGGTTCGATCCCGACCCTGACGCCTGTAAATTTGGAGTTCTCCCATAGATTTTTCTTCAGGTCCTCCGGTTTTTCCCTCCACATTTAGAAACATGCGTTTAGAGTATTTGGCTGCTATACATATCAACTGAAAACGCTATATAGGTCAGTGGGCCTTACGAACCCGGCGACCCAAGTTCCTGCCGATGGCCAACACCAGTGACGATTATCTGAACCGGTTGTGGACCTCCCCGAGGTCGACTCAGCCTCATCGCCAGTAGGGAGACAAAAGGAGGCCGGGCGTGGTGCTGGCCACCCACCCCCTCGTGTGCCGTTACTGGCCTTCATCGGTGCTGCTCGCTAACAGCACTTGCCCCAACAGTCTGTTAAGGCTATACGGGGGATCTTTGTCTTTGTGTGTGTGTGCAGGGTGCCTTCCAAAGCCAGTGGGGCTCAGGCCTGCTTCCCGATCAATCGTGGGGCATTTGTGAGTCTCTCGATGTTTTTCCAATTCCCAACTTCACCGCTCGTCTTGTTCCCGCCGGCTGGCGTTGTGCTTTGAGAGCCCTCGGCTCACTTCCGTACGGGTTGCAGTGGCCGCCCTCTCGCGTGTGTTCCTCCCTTCAAAAACACACACAAGTGCAACTTGCTACGAAAACAAGAGCAATTCTCCACGATTCTGAATGCTGCCTGATGAGGCTGGTTGGAATTACCGGCGAGGCGTCGTACTCGAATTGGAAATGTGTTGGGGGTTTACTCTCCCAAAACACCGGTGTGCAGGACTAGTAACTCATGGGGCACGTTAGGTTTACGTGACAAACCTTAACTAATTGGCTATGTCGGGTGGTGGACGGGTTTAACGACACACCTATATTTACGCGATCTAACCCAACAAAAAGTCTATTATGGAAACCTTGCGACGTGCAATCCCAACTGAGTGAGTCTCCCGGCAATCTTTCAAATTTGGCACATTTGTTACCATCACGCTGGCACGCGCAATGGCCGACTGGTTTCGAATGACGCTACCAGGAATTTTAACGTCCACTGTAAAGCGGATTGCGCATTGTATTATCATAGTTATTACACCTGCGGTATTAATCACGGCGGTCTGCCGGATTCCGACCGCGAACCTCTGCACCAAGCGTGGAAGTAAGCTTAGTTACTACTGACGCCAGGCACAGCTGGTGATCAAAGTGGATTGTGTTTGGTTTGTTGTCCTTCCCCCGCTCCTCTCATTTGCACGGTTATCTTCGTAAAGTCCGAACAAAGTTCAACATACAACGCTAGCAACCGCCATTCGCCACTAAGTCGCTCTGACATCACCACGGCGCTTGCGCCAGACTGTCTGCTCTGTTAAGGCCACGTCAAGTAACGCCGCTGGCAGGAGGTCACGGTACAGACCCAGGTACCACGGGTTCACTGACTGAGATGGCTGGCCCGATGCACCATCTGTACCCCCTCCCCACCCCCCATTACTGTGCCAACTTGCTATGTTTTAGCCGCCCGGCACTTTGCCCGTTGTTGTGAGCGCATACGCACAAACCAACTTTGACCCCTGACGGAACGCGACGGCAGCAGGTTCCCTGCGCGCGCCGCTGGAGGCCCTGACGGCGTCGCTGCACCAGCTGATTGAGCTGCACGGCGCCGCGTTCCGCACGCACGCGCAGGCGCGCCGCCCCACGCGCTACTCCTACCCGCTCACCGACGACCAGCTCCGCTTCTCGCTCTACGCAGCGCACAGAGTGCCGCCCGCCTGGATCGGCAGGTCAGGGGTCAGCACGGGCAGGGGTCAGGGGTCAGGTGGGAGTGACTTTAGAGGGTTGGGGGTGGGGGACAGATGGTGAATCCGTCCGTTTATGGAGAAAATTTTGCGGCTCGATCAAGTCCCTTGTTAGTAATGTCAGCATTAGTAGGCGAGCGAGAGAGTCTCACTCAACCCAGAGTGGACAGATTCTTTACTGAGGCACCCAGAGTGGGGAGTTGCCTGTGCGGAGACAGAATAGCTCACAGTTATTTTCCTGTTGATCAGGAGCTCTCGCTGAGTGTTGGAACCTCCCGGCGAGAATGTGCTAACTTGCGAGGTTTATTTCAATACAACGCTATATCGCCTACTTCAGCAGTTTTTTCTTGCTGTGGTTGTCCCACCTGATGACGATCGCTTGTGTTGCGATCACAACGTCGTGATCTATTATTTTTCTACCTACGTGACTTTACCGAAAGAACCCTATACTGTTCCCCTCTGCTCACACTGTCACTTTTTCTGTCTCTCTCTCTCCACCCATGCACCGTCGCGCCCCCAGCTACGAGCGCTACTACATGGTGTGCACGCTGAACCACGGCAGCAGGCCCCTCTGCCGGCCGTGGAAGACGCAGAAGGTTTTGCTCGAGAAGAGCTTCTCGCACTACATCCGCTGGAACGAGATGTGAGTGGGAGCTGCCGTGAGAGTGAAGGTCGGCGCCTCGTGAGCGACGCGACGGCTCGTCGATTCGTAGTCCTTGAGCCCGCTGGGGATGAAACGGGTCATCGGTACCACCGAAGGTGGCACTTGCTAACAATGATTTCCTCGAAGGATTTTATCTCGAGATCACACTTACGTCTGATAGCAAGGCCTCCATAGTAGCTGTTGATTATAAACATGTATGTATGTTTGTTGAACTTCTTTTGCACCGTAGGTACATTTTGTTACTTATATTCTCCACATTGACGCTCGTGATCATTTTTTTTATGTATTACTTGAAAAATATTTCGTATCAAACTCAAACCCATGTCTTGCCTGTAAAAATATGGCAAGTTTAGCATTGGTTCAAACAAAGCCTGACTGCTGATGACGCTGTTGAAAAAAATGCACTTCCAGAAGGCCGTGTTGCTGATGGGATGCGCAAACAAGATACTTCCAATTTATACTTTTTATTCGGCGAGACACGAGACGTATCGTATGCGCGTTTACTTTGTAGCCGTAGATCAGAAAGTGTTTGCAGAACTGCCGGATCAGCTCAGGGTTCCGGTCCCATTTTGTGCCTCCCGCAGAGTCAAATACCCGCTGTCAGTGGCCAGTGCCCCCCGAGAGATAGTCCTCCGCCTGCAGCTGTACGGGGTCATGGCGCTTCCAGCGGGCACCTCACAGGACGGCTACAAGCAGCAGGAGGAGGTCCTGGGATGGGCCAGCATGCCGCTCTTCAACTTTCGCGAGTACTGTCATTTTTGCGATCTCGTTGTTGCTTTAACATAGGGCTGTGCATCGTTGCAATCATTAACGGCAATACGTGGCCACCATTCAGAGGACAGACGACACCGCTAGCCGTTGAGGACTAGTCTCGAAATAGACGTCTCTCACCCCATTTAAAGCGGTGCGTGCATATTCCTTCTTTGGAACACGGCTCTCCGTCGTTTTATATTCTCCCGATTATATGACGCACTTTTCTTTCAAAATGACCCTAATGTTTGCAGTTGCGTCTCACTTTCCCGTGCGTCTAGTAATTCAGAGAATACGGTCGTAAGGGGCGGGGAGATAACCTGGTTCTCCCCAAGGTCTATTGGGTAATCTTTCAATTTTGAAACGTTTGGACCGTGATGTCGGCACACATGGCCCACTCATCTTAGACTCACGTCACGGTGATCTTTAACGTCCTCGGAGTATCACGGGTAATAGACCCGCAGAGTATTAACGAGGGCGGCCGCATGGTTCAAACCTCGGATCTCTGCAACAGCCGGCGAACGCGCTAAACCGCTCTGCCGCGTCGGCGTGCCTCCTAAACGAGTCGTGTTCCACTTGCACCTGAACTTCGCGAATTTGTGCTGCGTGTGCCGCCCCGCGTCTCCCTCCCTCCCGAAACAGGAGGACTTGACAATTCTGGAAAAATCGCCTGATGAAGCTGGTTGTAACCACCAGCGAAACGTACTCGAATTGTCAATGCTGTGGGTTTTACTCTCCAACACACCGGTGTGCTGAAGTAGTAACTAATCGGCACGTTTGGTCTACGCGACAAACCTCACTAATTGGCTGTGTCGGGTGGTGTTGGGCAGGTTTAACGACACGCTTATATTTACGCGATCTAACCCTTGCGACAACTTTTTTACGGATAATGTTGGTCGCGAAAGCTGACGCGTTAATCCGTTTCCCTCCCTCCCTCCGGGCCCCCCTCGCTAGTGTCCTCGCAAGCGGCAGCAAGCTGCTGGAGCTATGCTCCGTGAACTCCAACGGGATCGGAGGCGGAGGGATAGCTGCCACCATCAAAGACAACGTCATCCTGCAGGTGAAGCCACGCCGCCCCCCCCCCCTTTCGCTTCGGCACGCCACGCGCGAGCATCCCTTTGAGCTGCCCGTTCGTTCGTCACCTTCCCCTCGGCATATTTAGACGTTTGGAAAGTGCCAATGGAGAGGGGGGAGGCTACGATGATATGAGCACGGTAAACTTTGTTGTTGTTAAATTTGCGGTTGGCGTAGCGGCACAAAACGATGATAATTCACGGAAAGGGGAGCAATTAATTCTTCCCCGGGCCCGATAACAAGCTGCCGTTCCCAAGGTCATTTGCCATTGGACAACCGTGTGTCAACCACAAGTAATTCTACCCTTAGCCAATAACAAGCCGCCCCGTACCCAATGTCATTTGAAAAGGCACAGGTCTGTGACAGAGCAACAACATTGAGTCAGGATTTGTTAATTTTTTTGTTTTATTGCGACAAAAACGCGAGCCTGGTACAATCCGCCGATCGACATTGGAGCGGAACAGAAACTCGGCGAGAATTCGAATGGAGCGCGACGGCACCGTACGTACATGATGGAGGGGGTGGGGAGGGGGGGGGCGGGTGAGTCAGGATTTTAACTGACGTTACAGCGTCTCTCTCCATCTCTCTCGGTCATCGCAGATCGATTTCCCCGAGTCGAATTTTGACGTCACCTTCCTGACGCCCAAGCCGGAATCCCGCACGCCGACGCTGAGGCCTGACGCGGTGGAAGACGCCACGCAGCAGAAACTCTCCACGCTCCTCGATAAGCGCTTCCTATTCGAGTGAGCCCCCGGCGCAACCATTTTTTTTCCTTTATATTTTTTCCCACTGGTGCATATCCGAGTCGTGTTCCGACTGACCGTTGTTGGCGAACCTGAGCTGGAACCAAACCGCGATACGGTGGCCTAACGAGGCCTCTTAATCTGATCCAGAGGTGGGGTGGCCGAACAGGGCCAGGGATAACGGAGTGTTCCTCGCGTGGACAGTATCGCCGCGTCTTCCGCGCGCGTCTCTCCGTTGTGCGTGACGTCAGCTGCGGTCGGAAAAAAATCCTCACCCGGGCGCTTCCTGAGCCGCGGCGGTTTGTGATGATATATCGGTGTCGTGTTGTCGGGTCTGTCTCCTCCTCCCCTCCCTCACCTCCTCCTGCTCTTCATCCTCCTCCTTTGTCTCCCACTCGCTCTCCCGATCCTCTCCCTCCTCTGCTTCCTGACATTTCCCCCTCCGCCTCTTTCTTCCTCGTCCTTCCCATCCTTATTCTCACTCTGTCCTTCTTTCCTTCTCCCCATGATCCTTCATCTTTCTCCCCTTCCTCTCCTCCTTCACCCCTCCTCTCCCTCCCCTCCCCCCCCAGCCTGTCGGACAATGACAAACGAGCGCTGTGGGACCTCCGTGCGCTATGCCTGGGGAACTGCCCCCCCGGCGCGCTGCCCCTCGTGTTGGCCGGCTGCCCCAGCTGGGCGCACGCGCAGCTGCCCGAGACGTACGCGCTGCTGCGCGCGTGGCCGCCGCTGTCTCCCGTGCGCGCCCTGGAGCTGCTGCACGCGACGTGCGTGGGTGACGGGGCCTGGGGGCACTGTGCGGCATGCATGCACGCATGCACCACGGCGCGGACACGTACACGCGCGCACACGCGTACGTGACGTTTGTGCGCACAAGCAGAGGGCATGCTACTATGGTCGCGACACAGACACGTATACTACGTACGCACACACACGACAGGTACACCCACACACGCGGCACACAAGCATGTACACGCAGACGTATACCATGTACACACACACAGAAGACACTTACACACCCACGCTCGCGACACGTACGCACGCACGTTCCTACGCACACTAACGCGACACATACGCACGTGCGACAGATACAATGCGACTTCTCCTCCGTCGCGCTCGCCTTCGATCGAAAGTGCATATCTCCAGTGGATCCTAATAACGGTAGGAAGAACGTTCAAGACGGTCTCAGGAGCACTCCGATTGTGTTTTTGTAATTTTTGTTGTTGCAATGTTCTTACTCGCCCCGACCGGACGTCTGTTAAAAAGAGCTTTATAGCTCATCAGATTCATTCGCTCCTCAATCCGCTTGTCATGGTGAGGGTTGCGGTGGCTCATTGAATTCCTCCAATATAAATAAATATTCTGATTCTGCATCTGGGAGCGCGCAATGCGGTGACCGTCTCTCGTGTCCCCCGCGTGTTGTTGCGCCCCCCCCCCCCTCCCTCCGTGCGTCGTGCCGCCCGCCCCCGTTAAGCGCGCTGTGCTTGCCCTCCCCGCACCCCCGCAGGTTCCCGGACCAGGAAGTGCGCCGCCTCGCCGTGAGCTGGATCGAGAACCTCTCGGACGACGAGCTCGCCGACTACCTGCCGCAGCTGCTGCAGGTGGGGGCACGCGGGGAGTCCAGGGGTGGTGACCGCTGGTCGCGGGTGCCACGCAGAAACCGCGCGTTGCGGGCGCCGCGCAGAAACCGCGCGTGTGCCAACACCACGCTGCGTGGCACCGGCTGCCCGCAGCGGGTGTTTGACTCTACGGGAGGCACAAATATGGACCGGAAATCTGAGCTGATCCGGCAGTTCTGCAAACGCTGTGTGAAACCACGGGGGCGACTCCTGCGTGTTGTTTGTTGTTGTTTGTTGTTGTTTGTTGCGGCTGCTGCTGCTGCTGCAGGCCGTGAAGCACGAGTATCACCTGGACAGCGCCCTCGTGCAGTTCCTCCTCGCCAGAGCCGTGAGCAGCGTCAACATCGCCCACTACCTCTACTGGTGGGCGGCTCAGCAAGCGCACCAGCAACAGCAACAACACTTCGTATTCACATCGCGGTCCCAATGCAATCGCACATCAGCAATTGGAAAGTGCCCCGTTTACAGGTGCTGGGTGAATTATTACAGTGGCTTGTGGGGGAGGCTTTCATCCAGCAGTGGATTCACCCTGTCTGATGATGATTGATTTGATGATGATACTTTCACCCTGTGTTATTCTGAATAACATTGCAAGATCCGTAGATTCTGCAAAAACGTTGCAGCACGTTAGTGTAGAACTGTCGGGGGAGGGGGGGGGGTTGGGGGGGAGGAGGTGTAGATGCAACAAAAAAGGGCAACGCTGCGGCACAGCCTGGGACCCCACAACAACCACATGCACCACACGCGCCACATGGGTGGGCGATTTAATCGTGAACCTACCACGCGCTCCGTGCTCCTGCCAGGCTGCTGAAGGACACCCTGGACGACGAGCAGGCCGGCGAGCGCTACCAGCTGGTGCTCGGCGCGCTGCTCAGTTGCGTGGGGTGCCGCCTCTCCGCCCAGCTGGAGCGCCAGGCGCGCCTCGTCCACGAGCTGACGCACGTGGCCACGCGCGTGCGCGCTGCCACTCCCGGAGCCGCTCGCAAGGTGGGTGTGGTGGTGGGTGCTGTGGTTGGCGGTGGGTGCTGTGGTGGTGGGTGCTGTGGTGGCGGTGGGTGCTGTGGTGGTGGTGGGTGTGGTGGTAGTAGATGCGGTGGCGTTGGTGGGTGTAGTTCACATGGGTCATGTAGCCCGCATGCCCAGCCACCGCATGCCCAAGCAGCTTCTGTTTGGCCGGATAGAGGGTGCTAAATGATAGCGGCACGACGGGCTAGAGAAGACATGGAACGATGTTGGTTCGTGAGGATGTGGAGCTGCGTGGACTTACCGATGAGTGGTATCAGCGGTGTCGAGATCGGCCTCTATGGAGGAGGCTCGTGAAGGACGCTACTGGTCAGTTGGAGGCAGTCGCCCTCCAACAACAGCGGAGGGCAGAGGAGCAACGCTCACAACAATGGGCGGAGTGCCGGGCAGATAAAATGCAGCAAGTTGACACAGTAGGGGGCACAGCTGGTGCATCTGCCAGTCATCTCATTCAGTCAACCCATGGCACCTGGATCTGTCCCATGACCTCCTGTCAGCGAGCCTTCGACACTTCACGTGACCTCAAAGTGCACCTGGCCTGGCACAGTCCCCGGGGTGACTGTCACCGACACTTAGTGACGAATGGCGGATGTTGTTGTTGTTGGTGGTTACCAGGTTTTGGCACACTAGACTGGCAAGCCACCCCCCCACCTCCCCTCCCCCGGGGCGGCAGTTGAATCAATGGTGCAAAGTTCTTAAATTCACCCTCTCTGCCTCTGTCCACTCAGCAGTACAAATGGTTAAACCCCGGTCAGTCGATCAGCAGGTCGCGAATGGGTGGCGAGGTGGTAAAGTGTTGGTTACACCCACCTCTTCGCCTGGAGAAACGATTACTGGTTCCACATGCATACGTACATTATCGCGAGCGAACGGTCGCCGTTTGACAGCGCTGTTTTTGAAACCCAACTGCCGTGCCCTGCGCTGCTGGGTATGCAGGCCGCTCTGAGAGAGGGCCTGGCGGACGTGGAGAAGTTCTTCGAGCGGGAGGGCGAATGTCGCCTCCCGCTTAACCCCAGCCAGGTGCTGACGGGACTCAACTTAAAGGTGAGCCTTGCGCCAATGTATTCCGGTTGCGGAGCAAATACATGAGAAATGGTTGCACTTATTACACGCAAAGCGCTCGCCACAAATGAACCACGATAGCTTGCTGATCTAGTCAAGGAGCGTAAACCATCACGTGGGCTACGGTAACCCTCGCAGCAGCAGCGGCAGCAGCGGCTTTTGGCGAACCATCGAAGAAAGACTTGTCGCCGCATTGCGCGCTTGCTTAATCAGAATTGGAATATTCATTTATACCGGAGGAATTCGATGAGCCGCCGCGACCCTCACCATGACAAGCGGATTGAGGAACGAACGAATCTGATGAGCTATGAAGCTCTTTTTAACAGATGTCCGGTCGGGGCGGGTAAGAACATTACAATACAAAAACACGATCGGAGTGCTTCTGAGACCGTCTTGAACGTTCTTCCTACCGTTATTAGGAAGCCACTGGAGATATGCACTTTTAAATCTGGGATTGAAAACGAATTTCTCTTGAATTTATTTTTGTGTTTAGTTTGTTGTCCTTACCCCGTACCACTGATTATCACGGTTTGGCTACGTGCTGGTTTAACCGGTCCAGGGTCTCTCTTAGGTCGACTCGGCTCTAAATGAGTACCAGGTGCGGCGTTTAAACATCTCCACCGTGAGAAGATAAAGGCGGCCGGGCGTGGTGTTGGCCTTCCTTTATAGGTACTTGCCCCAACAGTGTGTTAAAGGCTATACGGGAGTCTTTGCTTGTGTTTTTGCGTAGGCTTGCTGTTACTTCACATCGAACACCACGCCTCTGTGTCTAAAGTTCCTGAACCGAGATGCCCCCGGAGATGACATCAGCGTCATGTTCAAGGTGAGCTCTCGCCGGCCATCACGGGCGCTCTGTCTCGGGGAACGAGGGGCAGCCCATGGCTTCGCTCGCCTGTCACTTCGCCTGTCCCCTCAACGTGAGAGAATAAGACTATGTCAGCGAGCATTTTTGTTGCTGTGTGTGCTGTGTGCTCGTGGGGAGCATTAATGTAGGGGTTAGTGCGCTACGCTACGAACCCGGCGACCCGAGTTCGATTCCCGCTCACGGCCAACACCGGTGACGATTATCTGAACCGGTCCTGGGCTTCCCCTTGGTCGACTCAGTCTCAAATGGGTACCTGGTGCGATGTGTAAACATTGCCACTAGGGAGACAAAGGCGGCCGGGCGTGGTGCTGTCCACCCTCCCCCTTCGTGTGCCGTGCAGACCTTCATAGTGCTACTCGCTAACAGCACTTACCCCAACAGTCTATTAAGGCTACGCGGGTGGCGGGGTGGGGGATCTTTGGCTTTGTCCTTTCTCTTTAAGTGACCGTTAGGGCCGTGCACGCTCTGTTTGCGTGCACCTGCGCAGGTGCACGAATGCGCGTTCCCCTGCCTCTCTGTAAGCAAGCTTTGGCGTTCCCGTGCGTGTGTGCGTGCGTGTGTGCGTGTGTGCGTCTGCGTGCGTGTGTGCGTGTGTGTGTGCGTGTGTTTGTGCGTGCGCGTGTGTGTGTGCGTGTGTGTGTGCGTGTGTGTGTGCGTGTGTGTGCGTGCATTTGTGCGTGCGTGCGTGTGTGCGTGCGTGTGCGTGCGTGTGTATGTGTGCGTGCGTGTGTGCGTGCGTGCTTGATCAGACGGGCGACGACCTGCGGCAAGACATGCTGACGCTGCAGGTGATGCGCGTCATGGAGAGCGTGTGGCTGCAAGAGGGCCTTGACATGCGCATGGTCCGCTTCCGCTGCCTCTCCACGGGCAAGCAGCGAGGTGCGCGCCACCACGATGCCAACGGCACCCCCCCCACCCACCTAGTCTAAATGCGTGACATTGATTTTTAAATGTGGAGGGAAAAACCGGAGCACCCGGAGAAAAATCCACGCGACCACGGGGAGAACATGCAAACTTAAATTATACAGCATGCATAATGTGACCTTTCTTGCGTCCTCTGGTCTAACACTGTTTGAGACTAGGCTCTAAAGAAAGCTGTCTCTGGTGTGGACCAATCAGTTGCAATGCCGTATATTTTTGTTTGCATGTTCACCACAAGTATGTGTGGTTAATGCAGACTTGATTCCTTGCAAAAGGTTTTTGTTTGGTTGTTTTAACATCTTAACCTACGTGACTTTCCTCATACCATCCGGGGACACCGTTCCAGTGCCCAACCAAACTGATATTATTATTATTATTTAACGAGCCTTTTGCCCGTCCAAGGACGGGTGTATTTCAGTAAATCTGAAACTTGCAAGCGAAAATCAGACCGCGACGCGATATTCATGCGCATCAATTCGTGTGCAATTTGTAAGGCCGCGGTGACACAGACTTATTTCATTTAAAGGTTATAATCCGTTGTTCATCATGACGTCCTTTTTACTTTGTCTACCGTGACACCGTGTGCCGTGTGCCACATGCCCCGTGCCGGGACACCACATGCCACGTGTCGTGTGCCGTGTGCCGCGTGCCGTGTGTTGTGACGCCACGTGCTGTTTGCCGCGTGACGCCGTGTGCCGTGACGCCATGTGCCGTGTGGCGAGTGTCCCGTGCAGGCATGGTGGAGTTGGTGCCGGGAGCTGAGACGCTGCGCCGGATCCAGGGAGAGCACGGAGTGACGGGATCCTTCAAGGACACGCCGCTCGCCCTCTGGCTGCGCAAGCACAACCCCTCTGAGCAGCAGTACCAGCAGGTACCGGGGGACTACCGCACCTCGTGCCCGCTGGGAAAGGCCGCATTTCTCAACCAGTCATCAAGGCCGCATTCCATCTGTTAATGTGTGTGTGTGTGTATTTGTGTGTGTGTATTTGTGTGTGTTAGTGTAGCGGTTAGAGTGCTGCGCTATGAACCCGGCGGCCCGAGTTCGATTCCCGCTCACGGTCAACGCCAGTGACGATTATCTGAACCGGTCGTGGGCCTCCCCTAGGTCCACTCGGCTTCAAATAAGTAACTGGTGCGGTGTGAAAATGTCGACCCTGGGGAGACAGGAGGCCGGGCATGGATGCTGTTCCACGCACTTGCCACAACAGTTTGTTCAGGCTATACGGGGACGGGAGGATCTTTGTCTTTGTGTGCACGCACCCAGGCGGTGGAGAACTTCATCTACTCGTGCGCCGGCTGCTGCGTGGCCACGTACGTGCTCGGCATCTGCGACCGGCACAACGACAACATCATGCTGCGCACCACGGGGCACATGTTCCACGTGGACTTCAGCAAGTTCCTGGGCCACGCGCAGATGTTCGGAAACATCAAACGGTAGTGCTCATTGTACCTCTTCTCAAGTTTACTTGTGTGGTATTTAAAAACGCAATTAATCCTTTGCTCTTCTTGGTTCTTTCGGTAAAGTCACGTAGAATGGAAATAATAAAATAATAAAAATGAAACATAAGAAAATAATATCATGTTTACTTTTTATTACTTTATTATTTTTATTCTACGTGACTTTACCGAAAGAACCAAGAAGATGAATCCCTGCAGTCACGAAAGCTTTAAATCGAAATTTAACCCTTTGCTGTTCTGAGGCGTCTGCAAGTTGCAGCGTGGTGGTGGGGGGGGAGGTCCCCTTTCACCACTGAATCTCGGAACACGCAAAGCGGCTCAGCGTTCATTTTATTTAGAGAGGCGTAGCAGCGCCGTTGTTTTTAAAGACATTGCACTCGCCGCATAGAACCGTAGCGACACGACCGCTGCACCCTACGATAGCTGGCGCCAAACCGCGCCACAAGCGTTACCTGGCAAAATAAAAATAGTTTAATTTAGATCTCGGTGTAGGTCCCGTTTGTCGCAATTTTTCAGATCTGTCTAAAAATCTGGAGCGCATCCCTTGCAAGTACGCGCTCATACGCGTAACGTGTGTCCACGCGCGCTAGGGACCGCACCCCGTTCGTGCTGACGGCCGACATGGCGTACGTCATCAACGGCGGTGACCGTCCCACCAGCAGCTTCCAGCAGTTCGTGGAGCTCTGTTGCCAGGCGTACAACGCCATCCGCAAGCACGCGGGACTCCTCTTCAACCTCCTGGGCCTGGTGAGCGATGGCGGCGAGCCAGGGGATGCAAGGGGTGGGGCGGGTTGGAGGGGGGCTACTAAGTGGGGGCGGTACGAGGCCTAGACGCCATCGCCGTGTGTATGCTCTTACCCAGTGCTCCTCGCTCTCTCCTCGCTCTCTCTTTGGTACGGATATGAATTGAGCTGTCAAGCGTTCCGCTGCCTTTGGAGTGCTCAGGACAGACGGGGCTGGATGACATTGGTCTGGAAACCAAATAGGCCGAGGGACTTTAAATAGTGAATAAAAATAGCACTTGGAAATGCAGTTTTTGCTTCTGCCGATACATTGCATCAGTCGGGGCCAAGATCGCCATCGTTTCTAGCGCTGCTGATGCCGCCGCTTCCTGCCGCTCGATCACGCAGCTGTTGCAAAATCGACAAAATCGTCACCCGACATCCAAATTGACCCACGCGTTCCGTCTCTCCCACCACCACCGCCGCCTGACGAGAGAGGTCTCCCCATTGTTATGCAGCCTTTAATGAGCGTCCAGTGCGATGTGTAAATATCAGCACCAGGTGGAGACAAAGGCGGCCGGGGCTTGGGTCCTGGCCAGAGGTCGCAAACGGGTTTTGATTCCTTACCCGTACCCGGCCGCACCAGGGTCGCAAACGGGTACCCGTACCCGTACCCTACCCGTACCCGGCCGGGTACGGGTAGGGTACGGGTATCGGGTACCCGGTTGCGACCTCTGGTCCTGGCCACACCACAGACACGTCCGCTCGTGCTTATCTTATCCATTTATATAGCTCCTTAACCAGGTGCTGGATAGTGAACTAACGATGGTACAATATGGTTGGCGAGATGAAACGAGATGAGTGGATGGGATGTTTGTAAAATAAGGTGGTGGTGGTGACGATGCGTGGAATAAACGAAGATGGAAATGAGATGAGTGGATTTATGATGGGTGACCACGGGGAGTTGGGGACAGGGAAGGCATTTGTACGCGTGGGGAGGACAACAAGGGAAGAAGGAAGGCCCTGGAATTCACAAGGCGCTCGGTAAAAACATTTTCACCCCAACGGCCTAGACCAGGGGTCGGGCAACCAAAATAACATGAGCGATTATTTTTTTTTTATTCGGTAAAAAAAAAAACCCGCAATATTTCAAGAGCCGCAATGCAAAGTGAATACAAGAGACGGTTGCCCTTACTAACGAGCATCACGAAGCATACCGGCTCCTGGTGCCGCAGGTTGCCGACCCCCTGGCCTAGATGGTTCCATGGGGGGGACGACCTCCCTCTGCGTTGTCTTTTCGTGTGTTGCGGCGTGGTGCTCAGATGATGACGTCGGGCATCCCGGAGCTGTCCAACATGGAGGGCCTCGTCTACGTGCGCGACGCACTCCGGCCCCAAGCCACCGAGGCAGAGGCCGCCGAGCTCTTCACGGGGTAAGGGACCAACTTGCAGAACCTCGGGCCACACGTGATTCGTTTTATTACGAGTTTTTTTGAGCGATCTTTTTTTTCCTTCCTTTTATTTTTTAAAATGTTTTTAATTTTAATTTTCCACTTGCGCGTCGGGTGTCCGCTGCCCGCCGCAGGCACATCAAGCTGAGCCTCAGCAGCCTGGCCACGCGCATGAACTTCTTCATCCACAACCTGGCACAGCTGCGCGCTCCCGGCACCGGCACGCTGGGCTCGTCGCCGGACCGCGGCCGCCCCTCGCTCTCCATCGTGACCCCGCGTGACCTCGCCATCGCCGCCGCCTCGACCCAGGGCAGGGCCCTGCACGCTTGCGTCACGGGCTACAGCAAGCGCTACAACCCCGACAAGTATTACGTGCGTGCCCCGCCAACTTATACAGCTACCCGCGTACCCACACTCACCTTGCCGCCCTACACACCCACACACACCCGCCTGCATACGTACCCACTCACCCGCCCTTACTGGATGTCTCGTGAAAAATTTGCTTCATAGCTCATCGGATTTCTCCAGGATGAGAGAGATTCTGATTCTACGTAGCCATCTTAGAAACATGCATTTAGATTATTTGGCTGCTGTACATTTCCACATGATAAGCCACTATTATTTATGGCCAAGTCCCTTCTAAAAAATAATTAATAGCTCAGTGAGCCTTACCTGGTTAAAAAAAAAAGATTTAGTTTCAGTATATATTTGAATAAATTTATCGTGATTTGCTTACCTTTTCTATACTTTGCACTCCTACTTTTTTTTATTGTTTGTTGTAACTTTCTGACCCCGTGCCCCTACTGGACATCTGTAAAAAAAAGAACCTCATACCTCATCGGATTTCACCAGGATGAATAAAGATTCTGATTCTCATCTAGCGGTTCTGCATTCTCAACGTGATCATTTGGATCTTTGCATCTCACGGCTTGGACTGCGCAACCAACTTGAGCTCCCGTGTATTCCATTCCCCCGCCGCCTCTACGCGACGCTCTGCAGCTCTTCTCGATTCAGGTGAAGCGCGAAGGACACCCGGCGCCCAGCGTCATCCACAGGACCTTCGGGGAGCTGCAGGAGCTGCACTCGAAGTTGTCTATGCTCTTCCCCGCGCCAAAGTTGCCGCGGTGAGGAGCTGCGTTCGTGCCGATCTTCTCCATCCTGTTCGTGAATAACAAAAAAAACAATAATTCTAGATTTGAAGCTTTCGTGACTGCAAGGATTCATACTCGTTTTTTTCGGTAAAGTCACGTAGGTAAAAAAGAAAATAAATGAAAACAACTAAATCAACAAGTTGGTATTCGCGCCGTGCTTACAGCGCGAGGCTATCGCGAAGGAGGGGGCGCCGCTGCGTTTCGCAGCCTCGTGCCTGCAGTCGTTTGCATGTTACGTACGTTTGCTGAACTTCTTTCGCACCGTACATAGCCACCAGCCCTTGCTAATCAGAGGCGCGGGGAGCAGGAGGCGGTTATTGACACGTGTATTCCCAGTTGGCGGGTCATTTTCGAATTTGGCACTATTGCACCCGGACGCCGGCACACAGCGACCTGCCGACCGAGTCATGTGACTGACACGAGGTGGTACTCGACGTCCACCCGGAGGCACGCGGCAGTGCGTACTGTCACGGCCCGCAGTGACAGCCAGGGCAGCAGTCGGACTCAGACCGCGAACCTCTGCGGCAAGCGACGAACGCGCAAACGCGGGGCCACGTCACCGCGCCCCCCAACGTGCGCCTCTTGTGAGTGTACGGCCATTCTTGTCAATCCACTGCTGGATGAGGGCCCTCCCCCACGCCGTGACGAGTTGGCGCTGTGTTGGTAGTGGTGGCGGTGACGGTGATGATGAATCTGGTGTTGTTGCGAAGGTTCCCAAACCGGCTCATCCTCGGCCGGGTGAACACGCAGGAGGTGGCTGCTCGCCGGAAAATCGACATCAGCAACTACCTGGCAGCGCTCCTGCAGTACACCTCGCCAGAGGTGGCACAGGTGCGAGCGTGTCACCTGTGTGTGTCTGTGTCTGTGAAAAATGCGTGCCACTTGCCCCAACGGTCTGTGAAGGCTATACGGGGTATCTTTGTCTTTGTGTGTTTTATTATTATTATTGTGAGTGCGTTTTAGTCTGGGGAGCGGAGCGGTCGTGTAGAGATTCGCGCGCTGTGCTAAGAACCCGGCGACCCGAGTTCGATTCCCGCTCACGGACAACGTCGGTGACGATTATCCGTATCGGTACTGGGCCTCCCATAGGTCGACTCGGCCTCAAATGAGTACCAGGTTGCGATGTGAAAAGTCGTCATGAGGGAGACAAAGGCGGCCGTGCGTGGGTTGCTGGCCTTAATGGTATAGGTGAGCGGAGCAGTTGGGGCCAGAGGTCGCAAACGGGTTTTGATTCCTTACCCGTACCCATACCCGGACGCACCAGGGTCGCAAACGGGTACCCGGATATCGGGTAGGGTACAGGTATCGGGTACCCGATTGCGACCTCTGGGATGAAGCCATGTTGCAGGCGCGGGTGGGTTGATTCTAGGAAATTGAATTGTGAGAAGAGACAAGATGTTGGGAAAAGAGTGACAAAACGGTTACTCACCAGTGACTCACCGCCTACCCATACCCGACCGCACCAGGGTTGCAAACGGGTACCTGCACCCGGCCGGGTACCCGTACCTGTACCTGGCCGGGTATGGGTAGCCGGGTATCGGGTAGGGTACGGGTATCGGGTACCCCATTGCGACCTCTGGTTGGGGCACTGCGCTACAAACCTGGTGACCGAGTTCGATTCCCCTTACCGTGTTGTTGTGCGGCAATGGCCAAGGCTAACACCTGTCTCTGTTGTCGTCCTCCTGCGCTCTGCCAGTGTGAGCTGGTGGCGATGTTTCTGATGTCCCTCATTCGAGACCAAAGTCAGTCGGACGCGGAGAGCTCGCCATCGTCTCCAGGTCAGTGTCTTCTTCCGGACACCACGGTGGCTCGCCTGGTATACAGAGGCCGTGGGTTCGATCCCGACCCTGACGCCTGCTGCTGTATATTTGGAGTTTGTGTGTCTCTCTCTCTCATCATCATCACGGTGGCTAGGAGATGTTAACTACCTCGCCTGGTATACAGAGGTCGTGGGTTCGATCGCGACCCTGACGCCTGTGGTATCTCCCCCGTGGTCGCGCGGATTTTTCTACGGGCCCTCCAGTTTTTTGCCTCCACATTTAGAATCAATGTGCGTTCAGATTATTTGGCTGCTATAAATGTTAACATCATGAGCCACTTGGTTGAGCTCTCATTTGTGGCCAGGTCGCTTCTGAAAAATTACTTTCTCACCTGGTAAAATAATGATTGTTTAGTTTATAGCTAAATTTTTCAATTTTGGCAATATTGGTGTATGTATATAGATATTTTATGCATATACGAATAGAAAAGGGAAAGAAAAAACCAAACCTATCGGCATCGACACCATCAGCGGCACAACACAAATCTCATGCAGCAGACGAGAAACTCTTGGCCACAGTGCAGCCGATGCTTCTGTTCAAGGGCTGCTGGGCTCTCATCCCACGAGCGTGCGGGGAAAATGCTGCTCCTCGCAATTCTCCGCAGTCGTCATCGCGGTCGTTAGAGATGGACGGCCGAAGGAGATTAGCGCCTCCAATTAGCGCGTTTGGCTACATGCGGTGTCAAAGAAGTTCAACATAAGTACACACAAAGAACGAAGTTTAAAAAGCCAGGGGATGACATTAACCCTAATCGAGATGCATGATGAAACATTGCCTCCTTCTTTTTGCAGGGGTGACCTGGGCGGTCTGGGAGGGTTCTACGGGGATGGGGGTGAATGTCACTCTCGGGTGTGTCGTTCTAAGTACAGACTTTGAACTTATTTGCCACTGCATGTAGTCAGCCGTGCTAATCGGAGGTGACAATTAAAAGCTTGCGAATTAAAATCCTGGCTGTGGGGGGATTGACTCAGCCCATCATGCTTCCGGGATCGATAAAATCGGTACCGCTTTGTGGGGAAAGTCAACAGTGGTTGGAGTTTGGACAGACTCACCCCCTGTCATAGGAATGCAAGGTTTCCACCGCTGCTAACGTAGGGCTGTAAACGGAAGATGAGAGTCCTAATCGGATGTGCGGGGTGGAAGGAAGACAGACTAAACACAAAAGGCAGTTCTAAATGAATGAGTTCTCAATCTAGACCAGGGGTTGGCAGCCATGTTTTCGTATTCAGTACAAACCTCGATATTTAAAGAGCCGCAATACAAGTGACTACGAGACGGAGGTCTTTCATAAATAACGTCTCGAGGCACTCCTTGAAGAGCCGCCGCCGTGCGGCTCCGCAGGTTGCCGACCCCTGATCCAGATGACGAGTTTTCAACCGTTGTTATACCGCCTACCCTACCCCGGTAACGTTGGTGTTGTCCCTGGACCCCCGCAGAGGGCTTGCACGCGGTGCCGCTGGGCTCCGAGCCCGGCGGCGAGGTGGACATCCGCATCGTTCACCGCAACGGAAGCCTCTACGTCCTCGTGTTCGGCTGCCGCGGCCTGGTGAGTCGTCGTCGTCGTCTGCGCGATCGGCGCGAGGGACGGGGGAGCGAGGGACGGGGGAGCGAGGGACGGGGGAGCGAGGGTGAGCTCGTTCCCCCCAGGGAGGTTCGGGCTCGGGGTCCCGCAGGCCACGAAACTGTGTTGAGCTCACAGGGGCGTGTCATCCACAACGGTGCCGTTGCGCGCCCCTTCGCATTCGCAGCGGACGTTAAAGATCCCGCGACGGTCAGCTAGGCTGTTGCGTTGCAGGCGTCGCGGTCAAAATTTGCTAAAAATTACCCGCAAGTTAACCATTCAGCAGCAGCAGCAGCAACATCGTCACCCTACTGTGACACTACTGCAGGCCGTGTCCGTGAAGCATAGCAGCTTCTTGAAGCTTCTCACTCGAAGAATAGCACGAATAACAAAGTAGTAAATTATTATTACGTGTTTTGCCTTGGAGCAGAACGTTGGCTGACTAGCGGTGGCAAAAATCAAGTTGCCGATGAAACACCACCCTTCTCTGGGCGGCTCGTATCGCCAGGTGTCTCCCGCAGGATCCGACCTCTTCCCGTGCGTCAAGACGCTGCTGCTACCAGACCCCTACCTCGCCACCAAGCGCAAGACGCGCGTGCTGCACAGAACACCCAACCCCAAATTCAACGAGATGGTACGACCCTGCGCAAACACCCAAACCCACATTTGACGAGATGGTACGAGATTTCGATTTAAAGCTTTCGTGACTGCAGGCATTCATCTTCTTGGTTCTTTCGGTAAAGTCACGTAGAAGGGAAATAATAAAATAAAACATTAAATACAATTCTCACGACGTTTCGGCCACAACGCAAGCAGCCGTCCTCAGGTGAAGAACAGGGCTGTTCGGCTGTCGGAATGACGCTGTCTTTCCGACAGCTCTGTTCTTCACCTGAGGACGGCTGCTTGCGTTGTGGCCGAAACGTCGTGAGAATTGTATTTTATTATGTTTCATTTTTATTATTTTATTATTTCCCTTTTACTTGACTTTACCGAAAGAACCAAGAAGAGATGGTACGACCCTGCGCCAAACACTTAACCCCACGTTCAACGAGATGGTACGGCCCTCCACGAACACCCAAACCCACATTCGACGACGTGGTACGATCCTGCGACCAAATGACATGTGGCTGAAACCCAGACTAGCGGCGGTGCCAGCTCGGTGCTCTGACCTCTGACCTCTGACCAACTGTCCGTGTAAAGTCAAAAGTGATTTCCTGCTCAAATAAGCAATGAGGCAGTACTCATTCATTGTTTGCAGCCCTGAGCCAGTGAAGGAAACTCTACGTTCCTATGGCGGGGGCGAGTCTATCCATAGGACAGTCAAGGTGGAGACTTCCCCACAATGCGGTACTCATTTTAACGACACCGGAGGGATGATGGCTTGAGTCAACCACACCTCACAGCCAGGATTTCAACTCGCGACCTTTCCAATTGCGAACCGCTCGCTCTACCGCAGCGCCGCCAGCTGGCCGATTGTGTAACTTCCCAAAGGATAACAGCCAGCATGGGAATCACAGGAGGTTTTATATCTCCGCAGCTCCGTGCTCTCTCCCTCTGTCTCTCCCGCTCACACCTCATCTCCCCCCCCCCGCCACCTCCCCCCCCACTTCGCTCTGCTCCCTCGCGACGGCGCAGTTCCTGTACAGCAGCTACAGCCGGGAGGCGCTGGCGCAGCGAGCGCTGCAGATCAGCGTGTGGAGCGTGGAGGGCAGCAAGCGCTCCGTCTTCCTCGGGGCGGCGAGCCAGCCCTTGGCCGACCTCGACCTGTCTCACGACAACTCGCTCGCGCTCACGCTCGGACCCGTGCTGGACTAGGCGCGCGTGTGCGTCGCACCGACGCGTTATGCTTCGAACTCTCGCGCGCATCCCCGGCGGGAGAGACGCCTCCCGTCCGTGATCTACGGCGAAAAAGAAAACGGAACGAACGAGCGAATGAGCGAACCGGAGCTGCGCTGCCGGATCCGGGAGTGGCCCAGGAACAACCCGGGAATGTTAACACGGGCCCCCACCCACCCTCCCCCCCCCTCTCACCAACAAGACCATGCCCCCTTCCGGTTCCTGTTATAAAATAACGTAATATCTACTCGCAACGCACACGGTATATCGTTGGCTGTCCAAGAGATGAAATCAAATCGGACCCTTCTTGCGTTTCACATCCGCCTTCTTGAGAATGCAGGGCTATGGCTAAGCTCTCGGGCGCTCCGTGTCACGGACGCGGCCTGCGTTAGCTTAGCGGTGGCGGGAGCGCGGGCGGCGTTTTGCGACGTTTGGATTTCCCGGCTGAGTAATTGGCAGGAGCGTTTTCCAGGCTGGCAACACATTCTCTCTCTTCCCTTCATCCCTCTCTCTTCTTCGCTCTGTTCAGTTGTTTTTGTTGGTCCATCTTGCGTCGTGTTACCCACCGTGCCAATGCACCTCCCATATCTACGCATGTTTCTGCGCAACCGCCATCGATGCGTATCTATTGTAGGCTAGTTAGGACGCGTTCAGCGAGCTTCCTATAAACCTAATAGCCCAGTAGTACACTGAAATGCAGGCTCATTTTATATCAGCTCTAGACTTGAACTCTCAGAGTTATGCCTTAGAATGTCGTGATGTCAATATTGTCTAGTAATAGGGTATATCCTAGTAATGGTGTTATAGTCTAGTAATGGGGGTATAGTCTGGTCATGGGTATAGTCTAGTAATGGGGGTATAGTCTGGCGATGGGTATAGTCTAGTAATGGGGGTATAGTCTGGTAATGGGTATAGTCTAGTAATGGGGGTATAGTATGGTGATGGGTATAGTCTAGTATTGGGGGTATAGTCTGGTGATGAGTCAGTGGTCTCGGTGCGGCTGTCGGTGAGTGTTATGGAGGTGGCGTGGCTTGAAAAGGCGTATTGATTCTCGTTCGGGGAGATCCTTTCATGGTGCAGAAGTGAGCCTTGTTTTGATGAACGAGTTGGCAAGAAAAGGTCATCGCCATGACCGTATTTTCATTAACGTCGGAGGCCGTGCGTGCGCCGGGTTGGGTTGCAACGAGACACGGCACTGGGGCGGACGAACGTTTAATGGGGTGTTGGGGCCGGCGGTGGTCCTGTGCCCTCGGAAGTTCGTGCAACAAAAACGTTCAAGCTTTGCTTCCATTCCCCGCCGTGGGGTCCGGACGTACAGACCCAAGTGCGCAACCCCAGAGAGACGTGTGCACGTTTGACGGACACGACGTTGACTTCACACACCCTCGCCCCCCTACGTAGCAACGTAGACTTATCCGGGGGGCAGGTGCTGTTGGTGAGCGCCTGTTGAGGCACGGGACGCCGTACGAGAGGTGGCGGTGTGGCCGCCACCACGCCCGCCCGCCCGCTGATGGTTATTCACCACCGTCGGGTTGCTCACCTGGGGGGGGGGGGGGGCGGAGGGGGGGGGGGAGTTAAGGCACGGGACCGAATTTCGACGTCGCTCGTCAGCTGGCGTTGGCCGTGGCTTGGGAATCGGAACTCGGGCCGCCGCGTTTCTGTCGCACGGCGGCGCTTTCGGACGACTGCGCTGCACTCCGCTACCGCCGCCGCCGCCACCTCGCGGCACTTTTATTTTCAATAGCGTCATTATTTATTTAAATATTTCACCCGGAAAGGGCCCTCGAGATGGAGCAAAAAAAAGAAACCCCTTGGCAAGGGTGTCCAGGGTGCGGATTGACGCGTGCGCAGCAAGCGCGTGACTACGACTGCAAAGATCCCCCGTATAGCCTCTAGCAGACTGTTGGGGCAAGTGCTGTTAGCGAGCACCTGAACGGAACGGCACACGAGGGGGTGGGTGGCCAGCACCACGCCCGACCGCCTTTGTCTCCCTCGCGCCGATGTTTACACACCGCACCAGGTACTCGTTTTAGGCTGAGTCGACCTAGGGGAGGCCCCGGACCGGTTCGGATAATCGGGACTTCTTCGCCGTTAGCGGGAATCGAACCCCGGGCTGCCGGGTTCGTAGCGAGGTGCGCAAACCACTACACCCGTTGGCAAGGGCGTCCAGGGTGTGGATCGACACGTGTCCAGCGAGCGCGTGATGACGTGCGCACACACAAGCGCACGCGTTTACGTCCACCCACGGAGCCGTACCCACGAGACTGATTGCACGCGGAGCGATGTGAATGAGACGGTGGTGCCGAGACGACGCACAACCGGTTGCTGAATCGCGATGACTCGTTGACAGTTTGTCCACGGGTTCAAAGGTCAAGTGTGACCAGAGCTTAATTTCTCTTGGAATATCATCTTGGGCCCTCAAGTAACCCTAGATTCCCCCCCCCCCCCCCCCCATCTGATAGTAGGATCTGGGTGGCGTGGGGAGGATGGTGGGGTGATAGGTGGTGGTGGGGGCCGGAAAATATTTTCTGGAGTTTATTCCTGCACAGCTCCGGCTGAAATGTATCCCTGGGTGTGACCACACAGCCAGAGCCATCCCTAGGGTACGGCGAATCGGGGTTACCGCCCGGGTCCCACACTTTGGGGGTTTAGTTTGAAAGCGTCGGTGGGGGGGGGGCTCACATGGTGGGATTTGCCCCGGGCCCCCGTACCCCCCCCCCCTATGGACGGCCTTGCGTACAATCATAATGTCTTAAGTGTCTTATTATTGGTTGAGTTAATTGAAGTGTTTCATCGTGAAATTATTTCACAGATATGGGCAGAGTCGAGGCTGCTCACGGTCACCGTACACGTGGTGTCGATCCTGGACGTGTCCGCGTTGTTGCACTCTTCCCCAGCGTACTTCCGGAACCTGGGTGAGACTCCAGGATGGTGCCGGGAGCAGCGCGAACCCAGAAGGGGGTAGGGGGCGGTGGGGATCAGGACTTTTGAGTCAGCAACGAGGAGCATTGTTGAGGTCTTGGTTGATGATGGGGGGGGGGGGGTACGTTGGCAAAACAACGTGTAAACCTCCTTTGGAGTTCGCATATCTGCGTGGGTAGTTCGTGGCAACATGTTCACCACAACAGGGAGCGGGGGATTGGTGTTGGTGATGTCAAGCGGCGCGGCACGTGATGTCAGGCACCCTTACATTTTGATCTCCCTGCTCCCAGGCGTTCCCGGAAAATATCGAGCGAAATAATTAAGCCCTCCCTATATCATGTGTGTGAACGCTCATTAATGAGCTGAGAACAACTTCATGCATAGAGGACTGCAGAGCTTGGGCAATTGTTTGGAGCGCAAACTGCCCACCCGGTTGCCTTACAGTTTTGTGGTTCCTAAGCGTTGTGAGATGCTATTTGCATGAACGACGACACTATATAGAACTACGTTTTTTTTTGCTGTATTATATACACTTTACGCAGGCACAGAACTGAGAAAGGCTACTCAATATTGCCTCTGGGAGCGACGCTGCTGGCTATTGTGACACGTTCGAGGCCGCATCCGATTTCACTGCCAAAATCTGCAACGCATCCCATTGAAACAATCGCCAAAATGTGCCAAACGTCGAGTGAAAGTCGGGTTACAAGACGAATGTACAGGGTATGTAAAATACCCACGCGATGTCTCTTAAGCATTACAGCGACCAAATGTGTATCGTGGGGCAAAAGTGTGCGCGTTTACGGCCTTGTAAAGGCTGCCTGTCTAGTCCAATACTGTTGCAGTGGTTTGCATGAGAACCTGGGGCTGGTTTTCTCATAATGAATCGCACTTCAAGTGACATTTTTCCTTAGATTACGCCGATGTTGATTCCAAACTAGAGAAATGTTACTCAACGTGTTTCGTACATCTGGCCACCGGAGCTCGGCCTTCGCCGAAATGGTCAGCCGAGTGCTCGCAGACACGAGCTGCGTTGGAATGATTTAGCCGAGCTCCGCTAGCGAACTCGGTATGTTAAGTCTGCTTGTATAGATTGAAACTCGTCGGGGTCTGCGCGCAATAGCAACGTAAGGGCTTCGGTTCTTGCGCCATTGTGGGGGGCCCCCAGGCGTAAGCAAGTAAGCAAGAGGGCCTCTGCAAGTCCGTAGGGGTCACAGAGGTGGCAATGTAACGTGTGCCAAAGGGCCCACCGGGCCGAGGATTTGCCACCAGGCCGGGAAATGGTATCTTGTCGCTTGAAATTGATTTGCACACCAAGATCTGGTGGTATTGTGTTGAAGGTTATTGCAATAGAATTGCACTGTTGATAGACCTATGCTGACGGGGGTATAATGGTGGTCTGGTTTTGGTCTACAGTGGAAAAAGGTGGGAACCGCTAACCGTGCCGCGTGTTGACGTTAGCACCCTAGTACATCTCCGCAAGATTTAAACGATTGTGCAAACAAAGCTCGCCCACGGATGGGACTTTGTGGTAGTGGTTGTAAACGGTTTCTTAGCACCAAAAAAAAAAAACCCAAAACGGTTGAGAAGAATTGCTGTTTAAGTGTAGGGGCTCGTGTATGATGAACAGGGTTGTTAGTTTTTTTTGCGTTAGTTTGTTTTACGAGCGGATCGAGTTGTTAATTACGTGCACTATCTCGTTAATGTATTGCTTGAGCACAATCGCCATCCAAGAACGAATTTGTTGGCTGAGCCGAATTACTGAAATCTTTTTTTTTTAAAGAGTGGCGTTTTTGGGCGGTTGGGGGGGGGGGCTGTTGTGCTTTCCGTTAGCGATCGAAGCCCCTGGTACTTTGAAGTATCCGGTGGAAAGGCGGCATTTCCCTCCGCTGCGCAGCGAGCTGTCGTCTCCGATCTTTAAAGACCAAACTCACGAGCATTTGATCCTAATCTTTCCCACGTGCGCATGTCGTAAGAGAGAGCGTGCGCGCGAGCGTTTAAATCATTTGAAAAGTTTCAAATGTTTGGAGAGTGATGTTCTCCACGAGCGGTTTTCTGTACTTGCTTTTATCTGAGCTTTTAGAGAAAGGGAAACGTAGATTTACACGGCAATTCGCGGGTGTGCTGGTCTTAAGATAACGAGGAGACGCGCCGATATCGTTGTGCTGCATTTAAACACTTTTACGGACTTCTCTACCGCCTTGCTGATTTATAGGTAAAGCAATCGCCACGGTAAAACTCGACAAACGTAGCAAATGCGTGCCGTAACCCAAAGGAACTTTCCACTACAGCGTCAACACATCCGACTTGTCATGTGTCTGCCCCGACCAATCGACCGCCCACACACAGTGCAGCATTTTGCGCCTTTTTGCGTGCGACGATCGTCTTTTAAACAGACGGTCAACAATCGATTTAACCACAATGGTGTTCTTCATTTCGTGCGTGCGTTCCTTGCCGAAGCGCATTGGAACGTTTGTCCAGGCGTCCACTTGCCCCACCTCGTCACGTGTGTGTGCGTATATATCCGCTTGCACCCCCGTCAACCGGCGAGGTCGCATACGTGACGCTGCGCCGCGATGCGTAATCTCGTCAGCCCGATGGGGCTTTCGAGAGTAACGTTTCCCCACTTCGGTTTGCCTCGTGACGCAGTAAAACCCTCGGATCCCCCTTCAACGGATCTGTTCGGCAACGCATGACCTCGTGAACTAAAACCGCTGGCTCGCCTGGTGTTGAACTGGTTTCACCCTCGCCAGGTCTCATCAGCACGGCGTATCCTGTCAAAACAACGCCTCTGGGCAGCCCCAATGCTATGGGAAGTTTGCAACATTGTTGGGGCCACATCCATTTTCATTGTGTAAATGCCTAAGGCGCGTTGGTGAATTGGTAGCAATGATGATGTGTAACGAGATGTGTATATATATTTATACAGCGTCATTTCTGCAAATCTTTAAGCCTCTTTGCGCAAACGTGTATCGTGCACATTTTTCGCCAAACAATTCCCCAAGCTCTGCTGTCCTACGTTGGGATGTTTGGCCAACTCCACGAGCGAGTGTTTATGCACGTGGGGGGAAACCAGTGCAAAGCCACGCGTGTACAGACGGAGATTAATCCGCTTGCTGTACTGCCGTATCCCGGCAAGCCCCAGGGTATGTTTGACCTCAACGCCCGCCGGCAGGATGGGAATTTCACAAATCTGTGCGATCCACGAACCTTCGCTGCCTCCCAACAGTGCGGGATTATACGCGTGCGGCCAACGCAACGTTGGCATTGATCTGCAACGCTACAGCTCGCCGATGAGCGTCTGTGAAGTCAAACACACAAAGTCCAATTGCCTTGAAACAAATGGCCACTTATACAGCGATGATATTCTGGGCCGCCATCGGTCAATGCAAAAAATCTTCTCACAGTTGAACATCCGTGCCTTGCTTGTGTCTGTCGTTTGTCGCGTCGGTGACTTGAGACGATTGTGCTTTAGAAACTAAACGTGTGGCCCCTGTTCGCGGACTCCCCGCTCTGGTTTACAACACAGGTGGCCGCGTGTGGGCACGGCGCATCGTGTTGACGCCACGTTGTGCCGACGTTCCACTCGTCGCCGTCGTTCCCGGTGCCGGACCCCACATCCGGCTACGTCTGCTGTATGTGCGTTGGACTTATTTCGCACCACCGCACGTAGCCATACCCGTGCTAAATCGGAGGTGCGGGGGAAGGACAACAAACGAAACACCAAAAACTATTGTAAAGAAATTAGTTTTCAATCTAGATTTAAAAATGCATAGCGCCAGTGGTTTTCTAATATCGGGGAAAGAAGAGCATTCCAGACGGCCGCAGAAGCGCATCGGAAAGCGCGCGATGCCGTGACCGTCTTTGTTCGATGACCAGCCAAAGAGCCGCTGCGAGCCAAAATCCGCTGCTGTAAAAGGGCAGAGGATGGGACACACACCGGGCTGAAAATGTGCCTCGAATTGAAATAGGACCTGCACAGCGAGGGAACATTTACGAACCATCCACGGCAGCGTCCACTCTCTGACCCCAATACAGCTGCCATCCTGGGGGCGAGAGCAGTTTTAATTTCGCGAACAACGCTTCGTGTTTATCAAAGTGAAATGGGTCGTTTTAGATTTGAAGTTTTCGTGACTGCAAGGATCCGTACTCTTTGGTTCTTTCGGTAAAGTCACGTAGGTGAAAATAAAAAAATTAGAAAAATAGAATAAAAAATATGAAAATAACTAAATTAAATCACGACGTTTCGGAAGCAACACAAGCCTCCGTGAGTCGTTTTATTTTAGTGACCGTGAGTGGATCAAAATAACGAATTGCGCCGATCAATCCGGCTGCCCACCAGAGGCCAGAGCAAGTTGGGATGATTGCTGTCGAGAGGGTTTGGTGACGTTGTTAGGCACAGCAGCGCTCAGCCGGAGAGCATCCCATTGGTAATTGGCGACACGCGGTTCAAGTGTATGTGGAGATTTGATGAGTGCACAGATTACCTGAACTGATAATTGGTTGGGTGGGAAAATACAGTCTGTCCTTTTCACACCAACATTGAATAAGTTATAGTGGAATAAATAGCTTTTTATCCTGTTAGTCAAGTACAGTAAGATCACGAAATGAAATCCACAGACTTGACTAAAATTCCACTGCTTGTCACCGAATTTGACGACTTAAGGGACGGGTCCACTCGAAAGCGATCGGTTGCGTGCAACGGAGTCGTTCGTATTTGGACGTCTCTGCAACCGGTTGCGAGCCAGCGCGCAACCGGTTGCGAGCAGTTGCGCGAGCAGTCGCGCAACCTGTTGCGAGCAATTGCAGCGACGTAGCTCGTGAACGTCACGCGAGTTTTAAGTGAACTGCGATTAGCCGTTAAGATCTCGATTCCGCTGTTGCATTGCCCCCTTTTGTTGCGCAACTCGTCGCTCAGATGTGAACAAAGCAGTCGGTAGGCAAGTGATTTATCAAGAGCGATTTGGTGGAACCCACCCACCCACCCCCCGGCTTTTAGACTTTTATAATTGAAATAAAACCCGTCGGAAATCATTGACACTGGGGGAAGGCAGCCACAAGAACACCACGCCGCGCGCGCCCCGTGATGTCTCACTGCCATCGCTGTGGGACTGAGGGTCTCCTCCACACAGGGCAGGGGCGATGACCGGAGAGAGTCGTGGTGGGGGGGGGAGGAGGGGGGAGTGGGTAACCGTGCGGCCCTCTCTGTCCACGAAGCGCGTCGCCAGCCCTCGTTATCCACTCGCTGTCCGAACGCGCACGTGGTGGCATTTTCGTACTCGGAAAAAAAGTGCGTGGCCAGTGCTGGGCTTCCAACTCGATGCATATCATTAATTTCAGACAGTGTTGTTGTACCCCCCTCTAACTATGCACACACTTTTCCAAATTGTTCTTGCTATCGCTATTTATAACGTGATAAAGAGAGAGAGAGAGAGAGGGAAAAAAACTATATGTAATTATACGCCGTGCGGTGGATGCCAAAGAGAAATGGTAGACTGTTTTAAATGTCGCTATATATATGGAGAGAGAAGAGGGAGGAGAGATACGATGAGATTTATAATTTTTAAAGTATATTGCGTGGCACCACGTGGGAATTTTTTTTTTTTTACAAATTTACACTTCGAATCGGCAAGGACGGCTTGGAAGAGACGCGCATGTGCGCTCTCTCTCTCTCCGCCTGCCTGCATCGCGAACATTGCGAAAGCGGTTTGCAGTACAAATAATACAGGCCACGTGGACACACTTGGGACTGCATGCGCTGGACATCTAAGTGTTTTCGCAATGAATCAAATACGAGATCAACGAGTCCGTTTGCGTTGGTGACGAACGAGCACTAACGGTTTATGTTATATCACTATGTGTCATTACTACTGCTTTATAACAACAGAAAACAATATATAAAAAAGGCCAACGTTTCGGGCTGTGGACCTTCACACTGTTGGGCTATCGCCCATCGTGTAAAATGTATTGCCGTATTCTCCGGGGTATAAGACGCCCTGCAAAGGACGACGCACTCCAAACTTGGTGTCTGGTGTCATTACATTTAAATGAATCTGGTTTGGCACGCGCGCACACACGCAACACAAACGCACCAACGTTTTGCTGTAAAATACAACGTTAACCAGTTCGTCTTATAATCCAGATAAATACGGTATTATATGTTCTGCTCAAGGGAAATTATCTTAGACGAATATCGCGAGATGTGTGTTTTTTTAACCGTTAAAGTGTATGCGGGTGATGGCTTACAGCAACAATCTGAGTGGTTGCTTGCCAACAGGGGGCTGTGTTTCATCTGTTCTTTATGCATTTCATTTAGATTACAACCCTGAATCATTACCCCCACCGCACGTGTGTTGCAGTACTTCATCTCAGCCGTCACTGTCCTCGGCGCTGTTCCGTGAATGAATTCGGACAGCGCCACACCAACGCACACGAACACCCATCAGCATCAGCGTCGTGAGAGTAGGTTTCGCCAGATGCAAATCACGTGTCCTTGTCAAGAGAAGCAAACAATGGATCATCTATGATTATTTTTTTATTTTTAAAGCTACAGACTGCCAGTACACTCACCCAGCTTAATAACCAGTCTACATTATAGACTGCCAATATACTCACCCAGCTTAATAACCAGGCTACAGTCTACATTATAGACTGCCAGTACACTCCGATTAAGACCCAGGCTAGTTATTTTTTTATTCACTTTTTTTTTCGATCTACGTGGCTTTATCGAAAGAATCAAAGAAAATGGATCATCTCCTGAGATGGCCTGCAGCGACCACAATGGCGTTCCCCAAGCTTTTTGGCAATGCCCAAACATCAGAAGCGGTGGCCCCGCGCGGAATATTGGGAAAAGGCTGCCGTCTTAGGTGGGACGGGAGACGCGATGAAGGAGATCCCCATCCTGCCATACAAAGCTCACCGAGGTGTCTGTATGTATTATTGTTCCAAAGTGACTTGGCCACAGATGTAAAAAAAAAACTCCGAAAACCCGAAATCATCCTTGAATATCGAAAAGTTCCGAAATGATCCATTCAAAAAATATATTTAAAAATCCATTCTTCTTCTTATTTGTTTTGCGTTGGACACGATGTACTCCCTTCCCTGGTCCCGCCGTCACCTCCAATACCTGCGTCTGTCGCGTGCTATCCCCACGCTCCCAGCTTAGCTCCACTTGGGGGAAAAAAACAACGCGGTGCCTTTGATCCCCAGTCGCAGCCTTTCTCACCTACGTGCGAAAAGACCACAGAATACGCACGTGTGCGGCCCGCTCTTTGAAGTGCCGGCCCTTGCATGCTTAGCCCCCCCCCGCGCCACGGCCACGAAAGGTCTTCGTGTGTCCCGTTTGCCTGTGTGTCTCCCGTGTGTGTCCTTGCGTGCCGTGTCTCTCTATCGATCGATCGATCGATTCCCGCTCACGACCACCAATACAGTGGCGATTATCTGAACCGGTCCTGGGTCTCTCTCCACCCACCCCCTCCTCTCTCTCTCTCCCACCTCGGTTCATTCAGCCTCAAACGAGTGTGTCTGTTGCGATGTGCTCAACATTGCCACGAGGTTGCCCGCTAACGGCACTTGCCACAACAGTCGACGGCTATACGGGACATTTAAATTCATCTTCTTGGTTCTTTCGGTAAAGTCACGTAGAATGGAAATAATAAAATAATAATAAAACATAATAAAATCATTCTCACGACGTTTCGGCCACAACGGACGGCTGCTTGCGTTGTGGCCGACACGTCGTGAGAATTATTGTATTATGTTTTATTCTTATTATTTTATTATTTCCATTATACGGGACATCTTTGTCCGCTTGTGTCCGGCCGGGGCGTGGTGGGCCGGCACAGCAGGGAGTACAGCAGCTGGTGCATCTTACCAGTCATCGCAGTCGGCCAACCCATGGCACCTGGGTCTGTCGGTGAGCCTTCGACAACTTCACGTGACCTCAAAGTGCACCTGGCCTGGCACGGGCGCCGTGGTGACGTCACCGGCACTTAGTGTTGGTGGTCCTGCCCCCCCCCCCCCTCGTGTGCCAGTGCCGGCTTCCAGAGGCGCTCCTACTCGCTAACAGCACTTGCCCCCTCCCCAACGGTCTGTCAACGGCTATACGGGGGATCTTTGTCTGTGGTGTGTGTGGTGTGGGTATGGTGTGGTTGTGATGTGTGTTGTGTGGTGTGTGACTGCCAGTACACTCACCAAACTTAATAACCAGGCTACAGTCTACATTATAGACTGCCAGTACACTCACCAAACTTAATAACCAGGCTACAGTCTACATTATAGACTGCTAGTACACTCACCCAGCTTAATAACCAGGCTACAGTCTACATTATAGACTGCCAGTACACTCACCAAACTTAATAACCAGGCTACAGTCTACATTATAGACTGCCAGTACACTCACCCAGCTTAATAACCAGGCTACAGTCTACATTATAGACTGCCAGCACACTCACCCAGCTTAATAACCAGGCTACAGTCTACATTATTGACTGTCAGTACACTCACCCAGCTTAATAACCCGGCTACAGTCTACATTATAGACTGCCAGTACACTCACCCAGCTTAATAACCAGGCTACAGTCTACATTATAGACTGCCAGTACACTCACCCAGCCTAATAACCAGGCTACATTCTACATTATAGACTGCCAGTACACTCACCGATTTAGAACCAAGCTACAGTCTACATTAGTGTTTTATTATTATTTCATGTTCATTATAATTTTTCTATCGCAACACAAGCGTCCGTCACCTGATAACGAACCAGAGAGCGAGCATGGATATCCCTGCGGTCACGAAAGCTTCAAATCAACATCTCCAGCTTCTTGGTTCTTTCGGTAAGTCACGTAGAATTGAAATAATAAAATAATAAAATAAAGCATAATAAAATAATATAATATTTTTTTATTATTTCAATTCTACGTGACTTTACCGAAAGAACCATGAAGATGAATCCCTGCAGTCACGAAAGCTTTAAATCGAAACATCTCCAGCTGTGCCGTTGCACGAATTGTTCCGCAAGGGGGCAATACACGACCTGCGGATCTCAACCGGAGGGCGCCCGGTCGCGTCGAGAAGCTAAGCAGGCGTCGAGCCTGGCGAGCGCTCGGATGGGCTACGCCGTTGTCGCGTAGGCTAGCGACGTCACTGTGGTCCAGTTGAGGGTAGTCTCACGAAAGGCATCTCGTGAGCGCTCCGGTGTGCTGCCGCAACTCATCGCTGCTCTACCCGATGGCGCTCGTGTTTTTTTTTTTGCTGAGGACGATTCTCTTGAGCCGGTTCCGGACCTCCTCTAGGTCGACTCGGCCTCAAATGAGCACCTTAGTGGCGACGTTTCAGCGGCCTGGAGCGGTGTTGGCCACCCAGCCCCCCCTCGCGTGCCACCCTGTGCCGGCTTCACAGGCGCTCTACTCGCTAACAGCACTTGCCCCCAAAAAGTTCTGTTCAATGGGCTGTCGCTTGGGGATCTTTGGGGACTTGAAGGCCGAACCCCCTTCTGTGGGAGTCGATGCGAATCTCCCAGAAGTTTCATTCAGCAGCAGCGGCTTCGGCTGCCCCGCCTCGACCGCTACCCCCATGTCTACCGTCTTGGATCAGACTTCCCATGGGAGGCCACTCCACTCCTTCCGTACGCATGGAGGGGGGTGGGGGGGTTAACCCAAATGCGTTCGCTTGTGTATGGGGGGTCTACTGACAATGTACGCATAGGAACCGGGGAGGGGGGTGAAGCCTCGATAATAATTTTCTACATTGGCTTCAACTTCTTGGTTCTTTCGGTAAAGTCACGTGGAATGGAAATAATAAAATAATAAAAATAAAACATAATAAAATAATTCTCACGACGTTTCGGCCACAACGCAAGCAGCCGTCCTCAGGTGGAGAACAGGTCTGTCTATTTCAGACGCTGTCTTCTCGAC